CTTGGGTCCCTTGAAAGGCGCTATATAAATCCAAGCTATTATTATAATTATTAATAATAATAAATAATAATAATAATATTATAGCGCCTTTCAGGAAACCCAAGGTCGCTTTACAAGTCGGGTAGGGGGGGGGGGAGTAGGGGAAAAAAGGCAGACAGGTTAAGGGGGTGGGGGGGGGGGAAGTAGCGGAAAAATAAACCTATTAAACTAACTATACAGTGGCGAAAGCCTTGGTAAAAAGGTGCGTTTTGAGGGCTTTTTTGAAAATGTCCAGGGTTGGGGCACTGCGGATTTCGGGGGGGGGAGAGAGTTCCAGAGGGTGGGGGATGCCACACTGAAGGCTCTGTCACCAAAAGTCCGCAACCTGGTGCGGGGGGTGGAGAGGAGATCCTGTCCAGATGATCTTAGCTTCCGGGATGGAGTGTGGTAGCGGAGAAGGTCAGACAGGTATTGGGGGGCGAGGGCATGGAGGGATTTGTAAGTCAGAAGAAGGAATTTATAGGTGATACGGTGCTTGACTGGGAGCCAGTGGAGGTGGATCAGGGTGGGGGTGATGTGCTGCCAGGGCTTGGTGTGAGTGAGCACCCTGGCAGCCGAGTTCTGCACATACTGGAGCCTGTCCAGGGCTTTACTGGGAACCCCGAACAGGACTCCGTTGCAGTAATCCAACCGGGAGGAGATGAATGAGGGTCTCGGCCACGAAATCAGAGAGTGATGGTCGTAGACGGGAGATGTTCCTGAGGTGATAGAAGGCAGACTTAGTGACGGATTTGATGTGTGACTAAAATGAGAGAGTGGAGTCAAGGATGACACCCAGGTTACGGACTTCGGGAGACGGGGAGATGGAACAGCCGTCAATGTGAAGGAGGAGATCCCCAACCTTCCGGAGCAGTGCTTTGGGGGCCACAACCGTGAGCTCAGTCTTCTTACTGTTGAGTTTTGAGTATTACTTCTGTAAAAGGCCAATATTGTGTTGCATGAAACAAAAACAAGTATGTGCTTTCAAACCAGTTTCCAAATCAAATCTTTATCTCAATTAAAAATAGAAAAGTTGTGTTAGTGCGACTGCTGTTGGAAAACTCCTGCAGTGTAGCAGCCTCATTTCACTAATGGATGCAGCAGTGTCATGCAGTAATGCAGGATATTGATTATAGGTTGAAAGAAGGAGTGGTGTTGGATTGATATTGGTAATAGGAATGATAATTATTAGAACACGTGGAGCAGTTTATCCATGCAATCACTACAAAGAACAGGGTGTGTCATTATCTTTAATTATAATGTTAAAACATTTTTTCACAGAAGACCCATCTATGTCAATGTTCAACATGAACGAACAAAGGCTACAAGCCACTGGACCATGCCCAACTGTTGCTGCATAAGATCTGTAATTGGTAAAGTGTTGCTTGTTATAGCCAGAAAACAACAACTGGAAATCCCAGATGTGGATCATCGCCAAAGGCTATCTGTCAACCATATCCTAGTTAGATTTGTTTGTAACCTTTAAGAATATCTTGCAAAATCAAATTAAACCTTCACTCTCTGTTGGCTATCGACTGGGTGGCATAGTCATTACACAGACTGTCCTTCAAGAAGCAGGATCAGGTTAAGTCTGTGGTGACAGAGAGCAAACATACATGCAATCTGCTCACAAAGACTATATTTATATTTATATATATAATACAAAACACGGTTGAAGGAAGGAAATTGAAGTAGGGAAAGAGTAAGGGGAGGAATTAAAGGAGAAGAATAACATAACAGACAGCAAAGGCAAGGGTTATAGAAGGAAAAACAGAAATCCAATATGTAAAAGGTCCTCTTGAAGAAGAGCATGTCAAAGAAAAGAGGATGGGGAAGTTTTGGAGGGAATTGAAAGCGATGTTGTTTTATAATGGATTTATTTTTTGTTCCTTCTCTCTTCTGTACTGTATCCTTTAGGGCTGTGCGATTATAGCAAAAATCATAATCACGATTATTTGGGTCAATAATTGATATCACGATTATTTTGACGATTATTCATTGACCATTTATTGAACTTTAAAACAAATAATATTTTACCAATAAACAAGATCAACAAATATGTTGGAGCACACTTCCAAAACCATACTAAACATATATTATTAATATGATAAATAAAAATAAATTAGACCAAAATAAATTAAATCAAACATGTTGCAGTGCACTGTCACAACCTACTGAAAACTCCTTAACATATAGCCAACATTTTGGTAAAACATATTCAACATATTCCACTCAGTTAAACGTTGAAGGCTGGCCAACCGTCATTGTCCAGAAGTAACAGGAAATAAATGTTGAACTACAATTTAAGACCAAATAAAAATGTCTAGGCCACCATGGCAAATGCTGGTAGGGCTGCTCATGTCATCTCTTAAAGATGTTTTGCTAGAAACACCAGGTTGTTTACATGGTCTGGTTTCAGAGATGAGCGCAGGCAGGTGACAATATTGCCACCTGTACTGAAGACCCTCAGCCACGCCCCGACACAGGGGTGACGCCGGCCAATCACAAAGCTTTGATGCGTTCAAGTGCATTATTCTGGCACAGGAAGATTATGTTAAAGGACATTAACGATAAAACAGAATATTGTTGTTCTATTTTTAGACACATCTCGCGATCGACTGGTTGGGCACCCCTGGGCTAGACCATAGGTCCGTTGTGGTGGCAATGTAGTCAGCTGAAGCCACATCTCTCTCAACTTCCCCACGGCATTTGCCACATAATACCTGCTGAAATAATACCGAGACGGCACCGCGTAATGCTTGTCCAACGTGTTGACAAGTTGCTTAAAGCCCTGGTTGCTAACAGTGCTAACTGGGCACATATCTTTAGCTATGTGAAATGTAATGGCACCTGTAATATCTCTGTGTCTCTGCGAGCTCGTCGCGTAGGCCGTTGCTCTGTACAATGCGTCCTGAATCGATGACTGTGATGATGTGGTGGATGAAGTCGAGCGGCATCTGCTTTTTGTTGTATTATTGCCCAGTCGTATTGCACTTTGTGGTTGTATTTCAGATTATTAAAGAGATTGGTTGTGTTAGCGTGTGGTGCCAACACAACCTGGTAACAAATCCTGCACTGTACTTTGTTTTGCTCCACGTCGGACTCCTGAAAGCCAAAGTACTTCCAAATAGTGGAAATAGTTGTATCCTTCTTTTTAACGAGTTGCTGCTCTTGTTCTGACATCTTCGCTTGCGCTGAACACTCACAACACATGTCACTCCCACGTGGCCGAGTGGGCTTTTAGGGTGAGGCGAAGCGCACCCAGCCAAATAATCGTATTTTGTCAATTATGCTGTTTTCATAATCGTCGCAAGCCATAATCGTAATCGCGATTAAAATACGATTAATTGCACAGCCCTAGTATCCTTCATATCCCCTGTATACTGGACTTTCTCCAGTATTCTCTCCCATGTGACTCAAGCGAAGACTATTTCCGCCCTTTGCAAAATATCACAGACAGATATTTGTTACTGAAGGATTGTTATTAAAGCTGCCTTAGAAAAGTAGCTGAGGATATCTGAGGCAGATTAGTTTTGGAGTGTATATTGTTCTGGGAGTTGAATGTGCCACTCAATGATCTGAGCATCTGAGTCCTTCAATGCAGCTGTACGTTGAAATAAATGATGGCAAATGCTTTGAGTTGGTATGAAGCAGCATCCTGGTACTTTGAAAATGGTTTGCATTCAAACCGCAGCACTTAGCGCTAGCCCTGCATATTAAATGATCAGGGATGATTCCATTTTTTCTCTGCGTTATCCCTTCTTTCTCCGATTCTGATTTATATTTTCCACTATCAACCCCCTTTATTTTCCATGCTGGACGAGTAGCATCATGTTTTTAACACCTATGTGCACATTTTCTCTCTCACAGCCTTGAAGATAACCTCAAAAGAACAAACTGTCACCACAAAATGGGAGAGCCAGGTGGCAGAGAGGAAGTTGGGCTTATTTCAGGCATCTTTCAATTCCTCAGTGACAGGAAAAGAGTCTCTGATACACTGCTTGCTTCCATTTCCTTTGGATCTGGTCTGGTGTCAGTAGTTGTGTAAGAAGAAGCAGGGAGGAGAGGGGAGACGCGGGGGTGAGATCAATGTGTCTCAGGAATGAAAGTGCCAAAAAGTTTCGTCTCCACTCTGCAGGGACATTGTTTTCTGCAGCATTTGTATAAAATGTCATCACAGTGTTTTTATTTGATGTTCTTTGGACTGGTGGAAGTTAACATGTGCTGAGGTTTGCAAGTAACAATGTTTGCAACGTGCAGCCAGCTGCTGAGCCTTGTTCTGAAGCTGGCAAGAATCCCAGGTTTGGAACAAAGCGACATCCGTTTTAATTTTTTTCAGGGATCCCGTATTATCATTTCCAAACACTAATTTGTATTTTAAATGAAATCAATGGAATCCAGTTTAATTTTTAAACAAACCTGAAGTACGTAAGATCCAGTGAATCATTCAGTCAATAACACACAAAACTGAAGGACAACCATTGTAGGCGAGTGCATGAATAAACATTCAGGTTTGTTCTCTTCCTTGAAACCCTCAAGTGATGATGGGTCTGATGTGTTTGGCATTTAAAACTCCCAGGCTCAAAGGGTGAAATGAAACAGGAGCACACACCTCTGGCAGCTTTCACCTGTCCTTGTTAATTCAATTAGCGTTAATGACAATAGGATATTTCCACAGGATATTGACACTGAAAGAAACCCCCTATTTTTAAATGCTGTGCTTCAGAGATTAATTTCAAGCATTGGTGAGCTGCGCTACTTCTAAATAGAAGAAGCCAATTTTTCAAAGCACCTCTTTGGAACTTCCCGTATTAGTTCGATGAGTAATTTGGTACGTTTATAACTCCATGTCAAATGGGTAAGCTCAATCTGCTCATGTCATGTGATCAACAATTCCACAGCAAGCTACTGGATGGGAGATGTGATGAGATTGTTGCTGCTTTAAAATCAAACCTGATTGTGTGTATCTGTTTTTTTCCCAGAACAATCAAGGTGGAGGTGTACGATTGGGATAGAGATGGCAGGTGAGTGTAATTGCAATTTTGAAATTAAATTGAATCGAAACATAGGCCAAGTTTTGGCTCACCCAAGAAACTGATCATTTCCCGTCGCGTAAATCCATTTTGTCCCTGACATTTGTCCTGGTATTTTCACCTGATTTTTTTTTCTTATTGACTGTTGTTTCTCTCCTTTCATTCCTTTTCCCAGCCACGACTTCATTGGGGATTTTACGACAAGCTACCGAGAGCTAGCTCGAGGGCAGAGCCAGTTCAATGTGTATGAGGTGAGTAATTCCAGTGTGTTCACAATTCAACAACGAGTCTATTGGCTCCTGAGATCTGGAATCCCACTACGCCTCGCGTCTTGGATCCCATTTCTGACCCAAATGACATTTCCATCTGACATCATTGTTGCACTGTTTTCCATTACACCAGCAGATTCCTTCCATCTTCTACTCCTGCATTCCTATTCTATACATTCCTAATTTATTTCTTTAAATGTCATTTGTATGGTGCATTATCCCTCCCTTAACTCCCCCAACAGTTAAACATTGAATTAAATGCTTCAGTTTTAAATGATTTAGTTGTCATTAGATTTACTTTGCCACTAATCACCTGTGGGTTGACTCTCATAGAAATAGAGCTATTAGCGACAGCTTGAAACCGGATTAATAGAAAAACAATCCAGGGACATTTCTCAGTTATTTTCATGGGATAGCTTTACTCGCCCCTTAATAGCACACGATACAACAGCTCTGTATGCAAATTACAAACCCAACTCATTAAAACGTCCCACAATCCAAGGGGTGACTGGCAAAGCGTACAAATGACATGCGTCCTGCATTTATCCCAAATTGCTTTTTTTGGGAAGCACGATTTATCATTATATTTATCAACGATATTTGCATTTTTAAGATTATGAGCATAACAATTTGAATTGAAGAAAAATAAAGAGCCATAAAGAAGGAAATGTCAATAGTTTCAGCTCCTGTGGGTTGGTAGCCTCCAGTCGACGGACAAATACCTGTCTTTTGGATGTCAGCTCCATTATACGCTACCCTTGATTCCTCTACCTCCCAGTGAGACTGAAAGGCCCTTTAGTCTTTGCATCAGCAGATTGTTCAGTGTGTCAGACAAATTGCCATCCCTCCATGTTAAATTAGGGGCTGTCACTTTCATGGCTAGCTGCCATAGAGGATGAGTGTAATGAGCCGAGACGTCTTTGGTCTACGGATTGACATGTTTCTCTTGTTCTGGAGCCGCTAGAATACCAGTACAATACATGTAAGTCTTGTAGCTTAAGCCTGTTTCAACCATCGATTCTTTGTAGCCTGAGATTTATGTTTGAAATTCTACTTTCCCCTGTAATAGCGTTATGGAGGTATAATAAATGTTCATAAGTTTACATGAGCTATGCGTTCCAACTAATACACATCTGTAACTTAATTCACAAACGTCCTTTTGTCACCTCCCTTAACTTCCTCCACGTCACTGGGATGCAGAAGCTGTATAATCTTGATACATCGCTGCTAAATTTAGAATTCAGATTTGAAAGCAGATTGAGTTGTATATGTTGGTTTCATTTTTAATGTTGGTTATTTTAATTTATGGCCAAAATATTCACTTTTTTGATAACCTGTACCTTGTATTTCTTTAGGTGATTAACACCAAGAAGAAAATGAAGAAAAAGAAATATGCCAACTCTGGGACAGTGAGTATGGCTATAGCAACCAGGACTGGTTTAGAGGAAAAATAAGCCATTCTGTCATTTTTATTTTTTGAAAAAGTTACTTCTTGGATCACATACCAATTATCAAAAACATTTGTTAAAAAAGCAAAAAAACGTAGCTTTGCAGATTCAGTAATGGTTTTGAAATTCAGCTGAAGCTAAAAAACATACTTTATGTTATATGTACGTCTATTTGAATGTATGTACACAAACACACTGCATTATATACTACATAACATAAACTGTATCTGAACATGCAACATGGACTTTGGGTGTCAGTTAAGTATGTGGGTGGGACAAAATAAAAGATGAAGGTGCTGCAGCACTTGAAATACATATTATAATATGTTAAAGATCAGAGTGTGCGACACAGACGAGACACCAATGTTCTTTCACAGCAGTGTGTGCGAGTAATGCATTCAAATGCTTCTCATCCTCTCTTCAAACTTTCCTCTGGTAATGTAAATTAATCTGTGATCAGAAACCAGTCGGCTCTCATCTTTTTTTAAAGTGAGACTTAGCTACAACAGTTTATTGGAAGATACTGTTATATCATAACCACTTTTTCTAATCAAGTTGTTCTCCTTGTCTTTAATTCCAGGTGACTTTGCTCTCGTTTTCAGTGGAGTCAGAGTTCACGTTCTTAGATTACATCAAAGGAGGGTGAGTGGAAATGACTACAATACAATACAATAACTGACCATGAAATGGTCACTTTACCTCTTGTTCGGCGTGGGTTAACTGTAGAAGCTTATGGTTAACATTAGCAGCATTTGTATGAGAGATGTGTTTCTGGCCACCTGGCAATTCCCCCTTTCCTTTAAGCACTTTCTGCTCTCAACTAACTCCCAGGCAAATGCTCCCCATTGAAGTCTTTACTATTAGCTCTAAAGGATCATTCTGATAAAGGAAGCAGGGTTTCTTCCAGCCCAACGTTGATTCTCTTCTGACCCAGGAACAAACATTTGTAAAGTGTTTTTTTAAACTAAAGAGTGTTATCCAGCTATAAACTCCTTAATGGAGCCGTATGTTGTGTCAGCAACACTAATGTCTTCTATTGTGAGGCAGTGGAGCCATGTGTGTGTTACAGAGATTATAAAGGGAGAAATGATGTAGCTGTGAACAAAGTGCAGTTTGTGTACTGGCTATTTGTTGAAAGCGATGTTGGCCGAAACTTCAGTACTGAACAAAGAATGACGGAAATTATTGTTTAAATGTTCATTTAAAGAATTAATGGGACGTGCACACTAATATAAAACATCTAGATTGTAACTTACTTGTATGAATTATATTAAAATTCATATATCTCCATTTTTCATTAGGTGGCACCATAATTCACTTTGGTAATTAGATTAATAAATTCACACTCTATGCTGACTGCATGTACTAAAGTGCCAAATATATTTTAAATGAAGTAAGACCGAACCATCTTCAAAATGGGTAACAACGTTTGGACCAGTTTAGTTTCAGAGCCGGAGGTTGACATTTGAGCATTAAGTGTGTCTCAGGTGAAGTGTGTCTCAGACCGGTCGGGCTCTCCTTTGATCTCCACTGTCCCGTCACAGCGGGTAGGCTGTCATAGGTTTTATGAGCTATGGCAGAGCTGACAAGTGTGCCAGATGTCACTGACAGTTCCTAGCTGTGGTTGATCAATGATACAATAACCTTAAGGTTTAGTGGCCTCACTTCAAAAATATCATCCCCATCACTCTACGCCCTAACATTACTCTGGCACTTACTTCATGACACATTAAAGAGTTGGATCTTGCAAATGTGGAGCTCTGTACAAAATGGATGGAGGTTCGGAAAATGCGTCGTTTAAACTGTCCAAGCACTTTAAACTTTACATTTTACGGCATAAAAAAACTTGAGAAACAACAAAAGTAAAAGTGTTTGCGGCTAGCTGTTCAAGCACTTTTCGGTATCATTTGGCGTAACTCCTTTCATCAGGATGCAAAGTCTACTCTAGTCTAGAAGCTTTTATGTCTTCTTTGAAAGCCACCATAATCATAAAAAGAATAGGGATAATTTGGCTTGTAAAGTGCAGTGGTTAGGTATGAGAGGACATATTATACTTTGAACATAATGATAGAGCCCATCACTCTGTGCTTATTATGGTTCACTGCATTTATATCCCGTTAATACATTAATAACATTAGCTTTTACCGCTCTAGAACTTGAATTAAGATAAAGCAGTGTTGCAACAGCTAAAACAACAAGCACAGAGTGTGCTATTGCCTTCAAGAATTGATAGTAAAAGTTCAGCAAAAGTTTTTATTTTTGTCACACTTACAGTAGCCTTAGAGAACGAAGAGAAGGGAATGAGTGAGGCATGAGATGGTAGGGAAGAAAGAAAGTAACAAGATAGTTCAACTACTACACAACAAGACTGCAGTGTAATTTGAAAATTCAATCATGAACATTTTGCAAGGGTTAAACCGAAGGGGCAAGAGACTGCCAAAATATGAGCATCTCACTTTAGTTAGTAGTGAAATCTGGGATACACTCACAGAGTTGTTATGTTAACAAAGTGGATTCGACGAATGAACTTAACCATAAAAAATATTTCAGCAAGCATTTTACTGTATGCTGACGATCACAGCATTTACGTTGTGATTGCTCTTAACATGGGGTGTAAAAACACAACATCAGATTACAGTGTTTCCCCTAGGACATTTTTTGTGTGTGCACGTGCGGGGTGTGCCCGGCCAATATGTTTCTATGTGTCTGCTAGCTCAAGAAAGGCTCTTGAGGCCTCGTACATACAGTAGCAATCTCTCAAGATTTAGCAAAATACACCTTCACAACACAAATACTACAGATCCACATAACAAACAATCAAAAAGGGTCACCACTTATTATTATTTTGATAGAAAAACGTGTTTGGTACCTGGCTGGCGCCCCCTAGCAGCGCCGCCGCTATTTCTATATAGGGGAAACACTGGATTACTTACTATGCTGTTAATAAATTAAATATGAATAAATATAAATGTTCTTTTTCTTTACATTTGTTGGTAGTTGTAAGATCGTTTGGGAAAGTAAACCCATTGATAGAGCGATAGATAGATGGCAATTGTTTAAGTGAAGGTAGGTAAACCATGTTAGTAAAATAAACTTAGAAGAGTAAATTCTTAGAAAACAAAGTGTGATTCTCTTTTTTTCGAGAATTCACAAAGTCATGAATTTATGCAATAAAGACAAATGAATACTAAAGTTATCAGGGTCAGGCTTTGCCGCGTCCCAACCCTCAAACTGAAAGGTTAATGTGAATATTTTACACCATCCCTTTAATACCATTATTTTACCTTCCTCTCTGATGGCTCTCATAGATAATGAGAGAATGTCGTTTGGGTCCACTCCCTAAGGCCTCGTCTCATTGTCGTAAATTAGCGAGAAGAGGCAAGTGTTTCATCAGCAGGGAAAATTGGATTATGATTTGCTCTTAAGTGCTCCATCAATTGCTTGTTACACAGCTCAGTGTCTCAAAGGCTCATCTGCACCTCCTGCTACGCCTTCTCACGGGAGGTGAGCGTCAGATAAGAGCGTAATCACCTAAATCATATTTGACGATTGAGAGACTGCACCCTGTGTCTCTCAAAAAAACAACGGGAATTAAATATTGATCTGTGTGAAACTATATCATAATAAGAAATAATTGGCTATTTTTGTGTTTGATGTTCCTTCGTTTTAGGTATCATCTCTTCTCCTATCACAAAAAATGTGTGTATGGGACGGGTGTGTGCGAGTGCTAGTATTTAATGAGGCCTGTCTTATTTTATAACTCTCTGGTCTCTTCCGTTGATTTTTCTTCTCCGTCCCTCTTGTAGAACGCAGATCAATTTCACCGTGGCCATTGATTTCACAGCATCTAATGGTGAGTGATACTAACGGCAAAGTGGGAGTGGAGGGGGACGCAGGGATAGATAGTTGTGCTCTTTGAAAGTGGCATGTCCGATTTTAGAATCAATCAGACAACACACAGTGCGAGCGCACATGTACATGTACACACCGTGGCACAATAAGTGATAGCCTTTCCTGGATATTCTTCCTCCTAAATGCTTTGTCAATACACTCTAAGTTAAGGCATTTTAGTAAGAATACAATGAAACAATACAACTCTAAGCTTGACATGAAAGGACTACACTTAAGTCTTATTACACTACCCAATAAAATACCTGAAAACAATGCTTCTATTGATTTATCGACAGGGAAAAGCTATTATTAAAAGGGTCATTGGAATTTCTCATTTTCCAATTGATTGTTTGTAAAAACTTCCTCGGAACAGCAACTGTCCAATAAAAGCATAGCAACCGTAACTAGGCACAGCAATTCTGTTTGTTTGTAGCCTTTATTTAACCAGGTGAAAGCCCCTTGAGATCAAAAGATCTCTTTTTCAAGGGTGACCTGCAGGACATTAGTTACACATGTAACATAAAAACAACAGAACAACAATAAGGATGACAAACAACATAATGTACAGGGTACAGTTTACAAACTCTATTTACAGAGACAGGTACCATGAGTATCAAACAGCATGTCACCCAGCTGAGTTTTAAAATGATGCAGGGGAACCAAAGTGCTCCGTTTTAAACATGTTTGCAGACTGTTCCAATTTAGTCCTAGCACTTGGCACATTTAATAAAACAACATCATGAGATCTCAGGCAATATGTACTTTCAATTCGTCGAGAGATCAGAGAGCAGATATAAAAAGGTAGTTTACCCAACATGGCTTTGTAAATGAACATGTACCAATGACTGAGCCTCCGTACAGTTAGTGAAGGCAGACCTGCCTTGGCATACAGGGTATAGTGAGGAGTAAGTGCTTTACAGTTAGTAACAAATCTCAGAGCACTTGATAGGCGGCATCTAACTTGACCAGGCAATGGGCAGGTGCATTCATATACATCAAATCACCATAGTCCAGCACAGGTAAAAAGGTCACAGTGACTAGCCTTTTCCTGGCTTCAAAAGAGAAACAGGACTTGTTTCTGAAAAAGAAACCTAGTCTAACCCTCAGCTTTTTAAGCAGGTTATTGACATGAAGTTTAAAAGTAAGACAATCATCATCATCTGTCAAGCTTTCACATGGAAAAGTTGTACATGGGTGTTTATAAGCTACCAAAAACACAATCGCAAAAGTGTTAAATGTGATGTTTAGCTGCTCTGATAGAGATTAAAATGTTAGCCTGGCTTCTAAGCTCACTACTTTTATTTGTAACAACCCGTTTTACCTTGAAGGCCAAGGAGAATTTCATTAGCTAAAGTGGGCTTGTTGTGGAGTCACAGCTTACCTACAAAAAACTCCTAATTTATGTAGTTATTTTTTTTTAATTTTCCCACTGTGTTGAGCTAGCCAAAATGTTACCCACCATTTTCTGTGCTGCCGCTCCTAGTGCTTCTAGTATCTCTGAACTTTTTAGAAAGGCTATGTGATCCAAAGAGCCCTGCCAGCTTATTCTTACCTAAAAAAAAACGCTTTCATGCTATCTCCTGTCTGTCTCACACTTAGTCTCTCACTTAGTCGAACTGAGCGCAGCAGTGCTCCTCATCTCTGTAATTGTCTCTCCATAAAAATATATCTACATTTTAAATCCTCTCATTGCACATAAAACAGTATCTAGAAATGCAGAAGTGACGTCTTTGTCCTTCATTACCCACAATGACCTGGAGTTTGATTGATGTGTCCGTAGGTAACCCCTCCCAGTCGACTTCGCTGCACTACATGAATCCCTACTCACTGAACGCCTACGCCATGGCCCTGAAGGCTGTAGGGGAGATAATTCAGGACTATGACAGCGACAAGATGTTCCCCGCTTTGGGCTTTGGAGCCAAACTGCCCCCCGACGGACGGGTTTCTCACGAGTTTCCTCTGGTAAAGTCAACGTCTCCTAATATCACCTTTGATAATCTGTTCACTGATCTTTCATCATGATGTTTTATTTCCAATTCACAAAGTTTTACCACTGAATGTTCTAATATACTGTGGCAAATTATTAGTAATGTGCATGTCATGGTTCATAAGAACTAAGTAAATGATATCTAATAAACATTGATAAAGATCTTGAGTTTCTTTGTTTGATAATTGCAATCACCAAGTCCATGATTTTCACAGTTTGGCTCCTTTTCAGAATGGAGACATTGAAAATCCGTACTGCAACGGCATCGAGGGGATCTTAGAGGCATACCACCAGAGTCTGAAGACAGTGCAGCTGTACGGGCCAACGAACTTCGCTCCTGTGGTGAATCATGTTGCCAGGTGAGAGGACAAAGCATCGAATAAAAAACGTCTACCTTTTTGGTCCTTATATGAAAATGTACATCAAATTGAATGTTGTCTTTGGCACTGGCAGATAACAGATTGGATCCCCAGATAATACCATACAAATCTTAAAAACACAATGATAAAAACAGTTAGAACAGATATTCTCATAATAGTGTGTTTTAAATAAGTGTTTCTCTTCAGACAGCAGGAGACACTGTTCAATGTTTATCCAACAAACCTAAGAAAGATATATTTTATTTGTTTATCATCAACGATTAAGGAGAAATGTTTGCGCCTCAATGTTAGCTGATCAAGATTAAGATCTCCCACTGCCAGACTCGGTTGGCTTCAATTTCCTCTGACCCAGACAACATCTGTCCTGCAACACAAACTTGATGCCAGATGTTTGAATTTAATTTGTTTTAATTTGGCTTACAGCTTTTGAAATAGTTGCAGAATTAGCTGGGATAAAAAAGCCTGTGACCATTCAAATATACCCCACATACCATTGCAATACGTAAAAAGGATCTGAGTGTATTCTTGTGTCCCCCAACAGCCATCGTCTTGGCTTCCCTCTCCCTCTAATTCTTTGAGCCATATCCAAACAGTTCTCCATCTGATCACAGCAAGGCTCCATTTTAATTAAAAATGTAATTCTGATAAAAATGGAATCTCACCGGGCCGGGCCGGCAGCCCTAACAGTGAGAATACAAAACCAGTATTGGTATTTAGCATTTGAAAAGGTGAACTCATGTAAGAAGATATGTTTAACAAAGGATGTTTATCTATGAATCAAGCAGAGCAAACCAGCTTTGTACTAAACTTCATTGTATTGGCTGATAATGTGTGTTTGTGAGGCATTTTAATGAGTGTTACCTGAAGTAAAACAACAATGTTTAATAAAATGTCTGAGAGTGCATGATAACAAGTTTTTTTCTAGAGCAAAGATCAGAGAAATGCATCAACAAATCCTAAAACCTGATCTGTCCTTGAATTAAAGAGTTTATACATCTAACTTCTGCCTGTATCAATCTGTGTGTGTTTGTGCGCTTAGGTATGCAGCAGCGGTGCAGGACGGCTCTCAGTACTTTGTGCTCCTCATCATCACAGACGGCGTCATTTCCGACATGGCACAGACCAAAGAGGCCATTGTAAATGTAAGAATGGAAAAGGAACAGAGAGATTTACTGCATGATATAAGTTTTACCTTGTATAAACGAGAAGAAAGTACCTCTGAAGTTAAAAATAATTGGCAATTTGGGAAAAACACAATGAAAAGATTGATACGATGTAGGATAAATATAAAGTCAGCAGCAGTTATCAATCGTCAAGAGTCAAAACTCTTAAACACAGTGAAACAGGCTAGATTGTCTTTATTCAAAGAAAACCAATTACGATTGTCCGGCAACTACATAATGATGACAACACTCTTAAAATGGACTAATCCCATTCAAGTTATAGTCCATCAAATAATCCCCCATGAAACCACAAATGTGGGGTTTGACCTTTCAGATGTTATACAGATTAAAAAGATTAGATGAAATGTGTTCATTACTGAACAATAGATGCTGAAAGGTGGATTTTTCGGAAAGGGCCAGGCTAGTCGTTTCTTATGCTTAACCCACAGAAAGGAGTGGTATCTTTTCATGTAATTATCAGCAAAACAATTATTTACCAAAATATCACACTAATCCTTTAAATCAACATATAAAAACACAACTATGTTCAGGCAACTAAAGATTATTTTTCAGTATTTATTAATCGAAGTTGAGTCAAATTGTTCCAGCATCAGTACAGATTCTTTATTAGCGCTTGCCATGTGTCTTGGCTTAGCTCACTTTCAGAAAAGAATATGTAGCCCAGATGTCCACTGTGGTTGTCACTCTGATTCCAACACCGAACCACTGATGTGACAATAGCAGTTGTTCTACAATCTGTAAAGCAACATGATTTCCATCATGGCTTCACATAACTGGTATTGCTTTTGTAATAGTAAAATGATGAAACTAAGGAATAACCTGACAGCTCAGATAGCGCAACACCCAGGTTATGTTTTTCCCTCATTATCGCGCTTTCTTCCTTTGAGCTTTCCCAAAACCATGCCCTGAATCTGTTTGTTCCCTCCCAGCTTTAAATAGTAGTTGGCTGGCTTCCCTTTCCTTCCCTCTACCTTGGTCTCTTCCTTTCTTCATCCTCCTCCTAATCAGCACCCCACAGGCACAGAACTCCCAGCAGACTGGATTTAAAGGGAATTTGCGACTGTTAGTCAAAACATTAGAACAGCCACACCTTCCTTTTAAGATCTTGCCTGCTGCTCTATCTCCCTGCCTCCACTCTCTGCTGAAGCCTCCACTGCTTTCCCTTTAACTCTCCACGGATCCGGGCAGAGGGAGGACACACTGCTGAGAGGTTATATCAAAGTCTTTCCTCATACTTATTCATGCTGGACGGTAACTTCATGAAAGTGAGAGGTGTCCTGAATGTGTGTATGTTGATCTTATTTTCATGCCCTTTTCTATGTTTCGGTCCATGTGTTACTCATGTTCTCAGTATTATAAACCCATGTGGAAAAAAAAGGTAGCTTATCAGTCACTCAGCATACCCCTCCTCTGCTCACGGCTCGTGTCCCACTGATTCCTCGTTGTCTTTTTCTCTGTGGAGCCCTCGCTCAAAAATGCAAATACTTTTTTCATCTGTTCATCTCAGAGATCGAAATCTGTTCATCTGCTCTCTCTACATACTTCTGTCACCACGTTTCTTGCCTTTCGATTTCTTTCCTTTCCCATCTTTCACCTGTTATCCGCCAGTGTTTTCTTCTTCATCCCTTTATCATCGGCCCACCACAAGTACTTCACTTCACAACCACTTTTGATTCCATGTACTTCCCAATAGGTTGCAGGGATTGTATTAAGTAACAGAATACCTAATGAACAGCCACAGATACTGTGCCTATCTCTCCTTGACAAATAGCCCATTGCTCTGTATAAACTATTCAGCATCTCATAAAGGATTCTGGCAGGATCCACACTCAGCATTATGATCCTGTCATGATTCGACACTTCCACTTTCCTCGATGTACTAAGCATTATAATAAATATATACTTAAATAATTGCGCAACCCTATACCCTCTTAATGTTGCTTCGTCAATCAGGTTTACCATTTCCTTACAGTACATACAGTATGCCGTTTACAGTGATGATGGACAGAGGAAGCTTTTCGTTTATAACAACCAACTTTTTATCAACTTTTTCCAGCAGAAATTACAACTGTGGACGGTTTGAAGTTGCAGTAAGTTAGCAAATGTAACTTTAATTCGATGGCTTACAGTATATTGAGCAAAAAGACTCAGTCTAAAAATGAATACATCATAAAGGAGCTATATTAAAAAAAATATTGACATCTTCCCGCATACTACATTATTGTTTAAAAACAGTTTGCCAACATGAACGTCATTAAGCTTCACTAAAACAGGGCCATCTTGACATTTGTTTACAGCACTTTAATTGGCAATCTCTGTTTAATGAAGGTTCTTATCTCCACCATCTTATTTGGTGTTAATTAGCAAGTATATCTAAAATGTTCTGTTATATTAAAAAACAAATTAAAGAAACCGGCCTGTCTCAGCAAAACTCTGTCCTGCTCCAGTGAATGAAGTTAATTAAACGTATTAAAGTAATCAAAGGACAATAATCAAAGAAACTGACAAGATTAACAAGAAATGTAGACTTTCATGGATACATTTAGAGTGTGTGGATAATAAAGCATGTGATGGCAATAAAAAGGTATTCTGAAACATTAACTTTATTTTCAAACATTTTTTTTATTTTACACAGGCTTTCAACATGTGACAGTGAGTGATTCATCCTGAGGTTCTAACAAATGGATGGACGTGTTACTCCTAATGTGTTAATATCTGCACTCGGCTGGATTTTTAAGTGTCTTCAATCTGCTGCATTAAGCTTTTCTCTTAGCCGAGCTCTGAGGCAGCCAATGAGATGAGAGATGGTCAAGTGACTCAGGTGACCTCCAGTACTGACAGGAGGGTCACTTCCCCAACATATATTCATAAACCCTATTTGTTTGTGCATGTGCACGCACGGCCACAAATCCAAGAACAAACACCATCAAAGCATGCGTGACGTTTGGCTTTAAGCAGCACATGTTGAGTGAGATGTTGGAGTTTAATGATGCTGTGTTTTGTTGTCTCATTAAACTGGATTTCCACTGCCAGTCAAAACGACAGGAGAAAAGTGGGGCACGTGGATTGCCAAGTTATTTTTGGTGCCATTTGATGTGTGCGTACATATCTGCAGTGTGAGTTTTAGTGTGTGCATGTGCGTGGGAGGACAGGCACTGACAAGAGTTGTGTTGAACACTGATAATCAAGCTGATCTGAGCTTGTGTCGACAGAAACTGCTCTCACCCCCGTGGCAAACGAGGTTGCCTGATTTTCCACGGTACATTTGTCTTGTGACGCAGATAAAACTGCACTCATTATTACTGCTTTGTGAAAATATATGGTTGCACTTTGATTTGAGCATTTATGTCGCCATCTATCTTGATATTAAAACAGAAACCATTATAGCCTTTCTAAAGTGCAATGCAGTCTCAAGCAGGACGTAAAGAACATCACTTGTGATGCATAAAGTTCAAGAAAGACAATCAAAACTTTTCAAAAAGATATTTTAAAGAAAGAGAATGATGCTGATTTGTTTAGGAGAAAATTACCACAACACACAGCGGTTAAGCATATGGTTACTAGGGCTGGTTTGGCTGAAATAAATATATGTGTTGATTAATGACATCCATTAATCTAAAACACAAGTGCAAATTATGTAAAAATAACTTAATGGATGTCAAACTGGTGCATTATGTCATACAAAGTTGTGTTCCAGCAATGTCTCAACAACTATTGGAGTAGGTGGCCAGAACATTTTAAACAAACATTCATGTTCCCCAGTGGATATACCCTACTGACTTGGGTGATACCTTGACTTTTCATCCAGTAACAGCAGCATCTTAAACATTTCACTTATCTGGTCACATATATACTGTAAACATCTACCAAATGGACAAGCACTACATTTGTATTATAATTCTGGTACAGAAATGTGTGGTCCTCTCAGGGAAAACGGTATAAACATAGATGATGATCCTACCCCATCCATTTTTATCATCAGGTAAACATTTCAGGTTGTCCCACAGTTTGATTTATGAGCAAATACCTGCAAGTGTTTGCATGCTAAAATGCCTAACTAGGAAAGGGAACATAGTTATTTTCCAGCCCTATGCTTAGATATTTTGTAACAATGATATATGTTGTGGTTTAACTGATTTAAAGCAGTTATATCCGAGGTGTGACTTGGGAGTGGCTGGGCAGGTGACTGAGGATGGTCGCTGTACTGATTGAAGTGGGCACCTCCCCCCTCTCTCTCCTCTCCCAGCTCACAAATGCCACACCCGCCATGTACTGTATGACCTGAAGAAATGTCTCCTGTTAGCCTTAACCAGCTTATTTAGGTGTATAATGTGAAAATATTAAATAAAATCCACATGTGAACATTTTTTAAGCAATGAAAACAGCTGACCTGTTGTCTCGGTATCTCAGGGGATGCAGTTAGTGTTGTCAGCGAGTTTAATCTCCTCTCCCCAGCCTGATAACCAGCACTCAGTGGGCAAATACAGCGTGTGTCATCCTGAGATAAGAGCCGGGGTGCATTCATGGGATAAAATTGGATTCCAGTACATAACATCTGGGATAAGGAAAGCAGACAACAACAAGTTTCTGTTGAAATGCTTTCCCCGTCTGGCTGTCCTTCTCTGACTCCCTGTCTCTTTGGAGGACTTGTCCTACTTAAAGGTCATCCAGCTAATTTAGGTGTGAAACAGAACATTAACAAGGTTGCAACAAACGTGGGTGAGCATGTAACTGCTATAATGTCTGTAATGCAGACGTGTAAACTATGATAAGCGCTTCAGGTCAGTGGTAATGTTGACAAGTGTCTGTTGTTTCCGTCAATAATCTTTATTTTTTATATTCCTCCTTAGGGTGCCAAGCTTCCCATGTCCATCATCATAGTTGGTGTTGGTCAGGCAGAGTTTGACGGTATGCTGCCTTCAATTTCTTGACTACTTCACAAACTAAAGATTAAATATTTGGGTTATTTTGTTTTGGCAGGCACATACAAGATGTCATCATAGCAAGCTGTTTTGTATTCTGAGAAGCTTGAATGCCTTCTAAATAATTTAACACGGTTAAAGGTATAAAAACAGGGGTCAATAATTTATATTTTAATTCTTACAACTCTCAGTCCATTGCTGTTACAGCCAGCGCATCAATTCAAATAAACACCAGAGAGAAAATCACTGTACAAACTAATTTGCGTCAGTGAAGAAGGGAAAGTGTGGGTGGCTGCAGGCATTATTGCAGAATGAATGGCTGAGGTTAATTGCTGGGTTTGCAGTGTTTAGAAGAGATTACCCTAAATTGCACAGAGACTTTATTACAGGATTTATTAGTTGATTAGACATGCAATAAAGACAGAGTACAGCTCACCACCCCCTCCCATTTACTAAGGCTGAAGCAAAAATATGTATTTTTTATATTATGTAGGATAAACTTGAGCATCAGTAGTGTATCAACCTGGTATCTGCCCTCAGTTCTCATGTGTATATGTGTGTGTGTTCATCCATGCATTCTTGTGTGAACGTGTGTCCTCCAGCTATGGTGGAGCTGGATGGTGATGACATCCGGGTCTCGTCCCGGGGGAAACCGGCAGAGAGAGACATTGTTCAGGTGACTGCCCTTTACAGCATGAAAGGAACTGAGACTGTGTTCTCTGCACAAGGACACCAGTCACTGAAGAAAACATATCTCACTATTTCAAGAATTACTCAAGGGCAACATTGTCCATGTAACAGACAATACTGTATCTAAACATTAATCAAGCCTGAGCAAATGCAGTCTTATGAGATACAGATCACCAGAAAAAGGCAAAGTGTTTCCAGTGATTTACAGTATGTTGTGTCATATCTTTATATTAGCATTTTACGTGCATGCGGTTGCCTCAGTAATACTGGCACATTAAAATGTCTGTTTCTGACAAAAGACCATCTGTTGGCACTGGCACTTCTAACAGATTAGGACATCTGTGTGCGTCCTGTGAATTTCAATAGAGGCCAGCATGCTAGAAAGTTTCATATTAGATGTCTCTCTAGGGCACTCTAGGCATAGGTTTTTCAAACGACTTTCTTTCTGTGTAGTGTCAAAACTAAACAGAATCAAGTTGGCTGATGTGCTGAGTTTCCAAATGTGTTTTAGAGCAACGATGTCATGGTTTGTGTGGCTTACTACCTTGGCTAAACGACTTCCTAGAGAACGCTTGTGTGTGCTATGACAATTAATTTAAAAAAATCACGAGTCAATTATCAAACCCCAGAAGGAAACCTTATCTTTTAAGTTATTTTCAAGCACATTTATTTCCTCTGACTCCTGAGGGGAGCCAGAGCACAGGATTAGTGACAGATCAGCAAACTAAAGCTTGCAGGAAATGGCAAATGTTGACTAACATACTGTAGGGGCTTAAACGTGAGCCCTCTGGATTTCCCCAATTAGAATAAAACCCACTTCTGTACATTGTCATACAGAATTTAGAGCGTCTCATGAATACAACAGTGAACCAAAATCCTAAAATGGAATTATGCTAGGTAGAGGAAACTATATTTTGTCATGTTACTGCAACAGTAACTAAGCACATTTATATTCCCCTTTCTTCAGTTTGTTCCCTTTAGAGATTATATGGACCGGACAGGCAACCATGTGTTAAGCATGGCGCGGCTCGCTAAGGACGTGCTAGCAGAGATCCCAGACCAGTTCATCTCTTACATGAAGAGTCGGGGGGTCAAACCCAATCCAGCGCCGCCTCCCTACACACCGCCTGGACTCACACACCACCACACACTGATCTGAAGCCCTCCTCTTGGCTTTTCACTGAGGACTGACAGCATGCAGCAGCCGCTCCAGAGTTCAGTGGGAACTGAACATCCTGTGTTATGGTGCAAACAGGAGATGACGCGACAGGAAATGGAAGTTGAATTTTGGGCCGTATCCTCCCAGTGACAACTTGAGCAACGTTTTTTTTTTATTTGGTTTGTTTTTCGGTGATATATTCATTTTGATGATTATTTTAATAAGAGGCTCAGACCTACCAGGACTCGTTGGTGAAAGCCTTTTAGTCCGACACTGAGGCAGTGACTGTTCCACATCTAAATCTGACAGCAGGTGGTTCAAAGAGGTCATGTTGTGGTTAAAACTTGTGCCTGTCTGTGGTTGTTTCTCTAATTGTATCAGGACATGTGAACTTTGACCTAAGCCTTGCTCGTCAGTCATTGGTGTGGCCTAACACTGATATTTTTTAGGCACCTTTTCCCTTCTGGAATACGTTTTTTTATATTTAGGGAGTATCTCCATATCTGCTAATGCATCGGTTATGATGGAGGAACACTAAAGATGTGTAGTTTACAGTTTATTATTAACATTAATCAGGCTTTTCTACCATGAGGTGTCTCCTCTTCTCTTCTTTGGTAGGTAAATGTTTATATCAGCATGTTGTATGAGAAGTTTATTCCCATATCCCAGTATATTTATTCTCCAATGTTATTTAGAGTGGCATGGACATTTGATGGATATGTTTTGAAGTGGTCACCAATTATTTGAGTGATTGCATATAAAAAGCACAACCTGTCTCTCTACCAAGGACAAGCTTAGTACGATGCTATCAATCATATTTAATAATTTTGAGAGCTGATGGTCACTGTCTAAAGAAAGTACACAATGTATTCATGCAAGTCAAATATAGTTGAACTGCAGCTGCAATTAAACATAAAATATTACTCAGGCTTGTTGGAGGTTCTCATTCAGCAAGGATAAATTCCAATCACAGAGAATACATCTGAACAGAGGTAACAATAATAATTTCATCATAACCCCTGTTTCATTTTCTAATCCACACAAATGGTTATTTAGTATACAAAATGCATTACCTTATACAGCAAGTAAAACACATAACAAAACATGTGATATATATTATTTATATCCAGAGAACTACTCCAGCAATGCAGGCGACAGTTCCACTTTCCCATGGAGCAATTTGACTAAATGCCACTTTTGGGTAATATGCACAACTAAAGCACAATGTACACCAGACAGTGAGGGTCTCTGATCTTCAAGAGGCCTTGTGCCACAATCTCATTACTTTCAGTTGATGCATACATGTGATATTAATACAATTAATGTAATACATTCACAATACAACTAAGTGACACACAGCAATCAAAGGCAAATGGTAGCAGGTCAAACTAGGAACACTGGTTTGTTTTTTGGTTTAAGACCCACGTGTTATTCTTGCCTGAGGGCCCAATAGCGGGTTATCCGGTCCTGATACGATCCTAAACACACCGCCGCGGCAACCCAGACACTCAAAAAGCAGAAATCTGTAAGCCCCCAAACGCCACGCATCAGCAGGCTCTAACCCCCGTCATCATGGATTCCCATTGTAAGTCTGTGCGATAACAGCCAGTGTTGCTCCTCATCTCACACAGCCCGGTCATGGCGCAGTACATTTCAAGTCTCTGGTGGGAGACAGTTCACAAGTGATCCCGAGAGCTTTAGGATTTTTGTTCATTACATTCAGTACAAAAGTAATTATCTCAAGTGTAAACACATGAACCCATCAATACCACAGGGTAAAGGGGGATCTTTTTGTGCTAATCTTAGTTTGGCTTTCTGTAGCCTCCCACCATCTGTGCTTTAGTCTAAGGAAACGAAACAAACTGGCTTTCAAGTAGCAAATCCAATTTGACCAAAACAGTAACAAAAGCTTTTTCATTTGAGATGTATACCGGCACAATGGTGCAACAACAAGCCTCGACAACCCTATGATGTGTTGCCTTATAAACATTGAGACATGTCATACAGTCATACAGGGTGTTTTGATCAATAAGTACACATTGTGCATACAGTAAGAGTTTTTTAAAGAAAGTTCAGAATACAATAGACTCAATTCTTCTATCCTATCATGCATCCCATCTGACAAATCACTATAGGATCTCTGCTTATGTTGCAATAACAATTGTTATTTGTGTTAACAGTGACATAACACTAGCCACATCATCAAGCATAAACAGGTTGAATAATAAAGTGGTATTTTCATGGCATGCATGTTATTCATGTACTTAGTTTATAAAATGGGAGATTCCAGACTGAAATATCTCAACAATTGGATGGGTTTACAATACATATTTATCCCGTCGTCAACATCCCTAAAAGATGTATCCTTATGACTGGAGTTACTCTCTGTATCAGGTTAAACTTTCAGAAAATGTTAACATGCCAACAAACTAAGGAAAGACCACAACAACACGCCAGCACTGTCATTTTAAGCATGTTGATGTTAGCATTTAGCTCAAAGCTACACTTTGTCTAAGTGAAGACTCACGGAGCTGTTAGCATGACTGTTTTTTTTGTTGTCTTTTTTTAGCATCAAATAGACATAAACAAATTCTAAATCTAACTTTTACTTTTTCCATCTTTGACACGGCCGTTGCTCTTCTTTCAGTATCATTATTTCAAATTTCACTTGGTTTTGTTTCAAGCTTGACCTATGTGCCCCTCATTGATGTAGAGTGTAAACAAACACAAAGACAAGGCTACAATTATAATACACTCTAAAAAAGGTGCCCTTTCCTTTCAAACTGACAAAGCAAGTAATTATTCTGAGCTCAAAAGGTTATTTTCAAGTGTCTAATGTAGCAAACTAAAAGGCCTTACAAATCTAGAAGGGAGCCACTACAGTACATCTCATCATGTCTTTTATCGAATAGCAGCTCAGGTGGATAAGTATGGCTCTTTGGATGAGGAGAGGAATTATTTCATAGTGGTCAAAATGGAAAACAGCTATTTGCTTGTATGTTGTTAGGTGGTGTAAGAGGGGAAACAGTTATCAGTGAAAAGATAAGAGTGTGTTAGAATGTAAAGTGTATCAACAGCAGGTTTGCATACAGATTCTGGAGGCACTTTATCCTTGGGAGGAGTGCTCATTGTATATGTTTTATATATTATTACTGTATTGAAGATATTTATTTTTGGAGTTATATGTATGAAAAGCCATTGCTCCTGTTGTCTATGTCATTATGGTGACCTCTTAACCCACTGATTTATTAGTGCGATGGATTGACTGCATGTTTTCTTGGGGTACATTGACAAAGAGTGCCCCCTCTGTATAATAGGAACCAGCCCAGATTACATGCATGTCAGTGCCAAACTTGGCAGTAAGCTCTGTGGACTGTTTGCTATTTCTTCTCTCTTGTGCCTGGTTCTCCAAACATTTCTTGTCTCACCAGTACTTGAAAACTGTAGCTTAATTAGCATGTTACAGTTAACACTTTTTTTTATTATTTTTAGTCTATTCTCACAATTTATTTTTATTATTTGTATCTCTTGAGTTTTCTGATTTGCATGACTCCCTACTTTCGTTTAAATGGGGTTTTTAAATTGTACATGATTATTGTCATATGGTGGGTTGTGAAATGCTTTGTATTGGATTGCCTTAACTGAAAATTAATTAAAAAACTACTTTTGTAAAAGTTCTTGGAGCGTTATACCTTGATTTCACTGTTCAGTGTTTTCCTTTGATACTTAAAAACAGCATCAATGAGGTTCATTTTACTCGTACTGTAGTGAACCATGCGTTATGTCCCATCTTTTGCATTTAACTTTGTTATCCGTAATTAGTGGCGCTCTTGGTAGATTTTATCAATACAGAATATCCATTAAATGTATTTGGTTAAATGAAAGCGATCATACTGGAATAAACAGCTGAAAAAAAGAAGTAAAAAAAAGAACGGAATAAATGTAGAAAGTTAATGATTGTGATGCTTCCTACTTAACAACTAAGACACTTAATGTTGCACAACCATCTGTGCACAGTAAGAACCAATGCCTTAATCTCCATGTCCTCAATATTCATTAAATTATGGATAGTCAAACATCCAATGGAGGACAATCGAAGGTTTACTACAGTATGTACGAAAAAAGTACGAGTTGATTAAATCTAGAGAAAAACCTAAGGATTATTTTCTTTTTAAGGAACAAAAATATAGGTCCATTTTGGGAATGCAAATATGGTCTTACACTTAATTGCAGTACCATCGCTCTTCACTTGTCTTTGCAGATAGTTTTTTAGACTAAGTACTAAGACATACAAGTTTTGTGGATTTCCAAGTTTCCTCCTGTCCCTCTGTACCAAGAATGAGATAAACTTTCTCTAACAGCGCATATAAGTTTTGTCCTTAAATTATTCCGTTTGCATTATGTTCACCCTGTCTCTGCAGGCTGTGGTGAGAGCGATGACAGCTGTCACGGATCTGAATCAAACCCAAAACTAAAATATATATGTATATATATATATATTTCCAGCTCAGCAGATAGCATCTCTGCAGGATATTCTGTGAACATTGAAGGTGATGTATGTAAATACATTTAGCCTCGAAAAAGTTCTCATTAAAACGTCCATTTATCTTATTTATAAAAAGCGCGATCCATAATTGCCTAGCCACATCTGAAATGGAATTTACTGGGAGGAATACAGACACCTAAACACACTTGAGATATTTCTGATGTATATTTAGTTTCTAGGTCAAGAGGAAATAACAATGTAGGAAACAAAGTTTTCCGATGGACTTCTTTAGAATAGAGAATATAGAACAATTCGGACAATGAAATGTTATCCTAATAACTTTTGTATAAAAATAAGTATTCGGCACGGTCATCCTCTTTAAATTGTCCTGCAATCAAATGCATGCAGTCCAAGGCCATGCATCTGCTCTCTCAATACATTTGGAAAGCTAAGTTCTCAAAGAATAACAACAACCTGGTTATAAAAGTAAAGCAATCTCAAACTTTCAGTAACAGCCTGGTTTCCAACTATCTTTAATTACCTAGACATGTTTTTTGGGAAACGTAATGCCACCAAATTGTCAACCACATGTCAAGTTCATATGAACTAACATGTCCTTGTGTCAGCAAAATAATTACTGCCAATGGTCATCCATTGTTTACATTATCTGTGTGTTCTATTAAGATGTGTAAACTAAAACAACAGGCAGTGGTCACATAGAGGAGCACTTCAAGGAATGATTTCACATTGTGGGGTATAAGCTTACCTCTTTGCTTGCCACTGGTTAGCATAGCTTAGCATAAACTGACTTGCATACATGCATGTTTTCCCCTGACCAATTCAAATGTTATTTCTTATCTATTTAATCCATAAAATACTCTTGAATATTTCTTGCCAGAGGACATTCACTGTCATTAGTTTCCACCAAATGCCTAACATCATTGCAACAACTAGACTGTGTGAATATACTGCTAATTTCTTTGCATTTTGTGTTTTATATAGAAATGTATTCATTGGGATAAACCCCTTGAGATGTACCATCTCGTTTTCAAGGGTGTCCCGACAATAGCAACAACTTACAGACATACATAAACAAAAAGACAAAATGCAAAACATGACACACAAGACAAACCACATACAGTCTGTTAAGTGAAATTCAAGCAATGCACACAATCATTACAATTTGAGACAGTCAAGCAAATCAGTTTCATCAATATCAGTTATAACAAGTACAGACCAGTTGAAAGTGAGATAACAATGCATGTTTAAATATACCCAATGATGCAAGAGATCTAATAGCAGCAGGTAAAGTATTCCAGTCAGTTGGGGCCAGGGCCGGACTGGGACAATAAGTCAGGCCGGGAATTATACACCCAACCAGGCCACTACCAGTTTTATTTTGTGTAATTTTCCTGGATTTATTTGTCAATATTTACAGCGTTGCTGCCCATAGTGATAGCCATAAACTTTAAAACTACCCCAGAATAAACATATGGACATGGGTTACTATTTTTTTTTAAAAGTGCAAATCTATTTAGGAACCTATCCATGTGAACATATTTTAAGTGGAGGTGGACCTCAAATCCTATAGGGGGGTCCGGGGGCATGCGGAAGATTTTTTTTTGTAAATGTTGGACTTAAATGCATCAATCTGGTGCACTTTGAGGGGGAAATAAAGAGACTACTACACATGAAACAGAACTGTATACATTTAAATAATCATAAGAACATGGCCATAACCAATAACATCCCATATCCAATATGGAAAAACATTGAAACTTGTTTATTTATTTGTTTTTGGTTCATTTATAGTTAGCATGGCATAGTGTGTCTGTGCTCCTGAACCAGCCTCACCTGTCTCCCTCCTCTCCCTCCTCTCCCCCCTGCTCCTCTTTGAGGCAGCAGCAAAGACTAGTTTTAGCTCTCAACAAGTTTTTTAAGTTTATCTTGCCTTTTTTCACCTAGTTAACTTTTTTTTTTTGTATTATTCATCTATATTTTACTAATCACTCCCCCTTCAAATGGAAATATGTGTTTACATAAATGGTGACCAAACCGTTTGAGACCCACAGTGAACTTAGACTAAGTTAACTATCTAAACACTCTAAAGTCCTTTACCTCACCTGAGCTGTAGTTATCAGTCTCTCAGTCTGACAGCAGAGGACTCTCCTCCACCTTGTTGACAGCTCATTCCGTTAGCGCCGCTAGCTAGCACCGGATGCTAACAACAACAATACACGTAACCAGTGCACGCGCTTTCTCTCTCGCTTGCTCGCGCCACACACACACACCCTCCCGAGCTTGAATGACACACAGAGACCAATCGAGGGCATTCGTGTATGATCTGTATGAAAGTGGCCATGTCGGCAGGCCACATCATGTAGACAGCCAGTCACCCTCTGTGAGGCAGAGTCAGACCCACATTTGCGCAGCGTTGCGTTCACAATACATTAAAAAAAATCCTCAGGCCAGCAGGCCACTTAACAGGCCAGGCCATCGGGAAACCTCCCGGTCCTCCCGATGGCCAGTCCGGGCCTGGGTTGGGGCTTTGAACATGAACGCTCTTCTGCCAATCAATTTTTTTGCAGAGGGGACAGAGAAATAAATCTGAACAGAATGTCTAACTTGATGAATTGGTGAGTAGGGGTACAAAATACTGCTTTAAATAAGGGGGATAGTTAAGATAAATGCATGTAAATATCAGCTGAAGCCAATGCATGTGTCTTCTTACATTTAAAGAAGGCCATTTAAAGGGGACCTATCATGCAAAATGCACCTTTGTACGTCTTTTATACATGAATATGTGTCCCCGGTGTTCCAGGGAACTCACCAAGTGTCAGAAAACACAACTCTCTCTATTTTCCTCCTTAGCTAAATCTCTAAAAAAAAAAAGGGGCTGCAACGGATCTGAAAAAAATGGATCCAGATTTCAACACTTTTCTACGTCACAAAGAGACGTGCTCCGCTTATTGGTCAACTCCCCACCTATCAGGGGAATGAGCCACGGCCACGTGCATTGCCAAACCTCTCATTCGCATATAGGCTATCAGCAGGCTAAATCAACCCCGGTCACATCTGTGTTTTTGCCTGCTCTTGCCAGGATGTCTAAGCGAGTTCAACATTGTGCTGTTGTTGGCTGCAAGACTCGGGACAGGGGAATGCATGCAATGCCATCAGTGGAAAAAGAAAATAATCTATGGCTAGACTTCATTTTCAAGGGACATGTGCCAGAAGACCACGGCAGATTTCTGTTGGTGTGACTGTGTTCCAAACATTTTACGACGGACATGTTTATGAACTTCTCTCAAGTCCAACACGGATATGCCTCCAAACTAATGCTAAACCCGGGATCAATACCAACCATCCGGGAGCAGGCCAGTGAGGACACATCCAATTTTGAAGCTGTAAGTTTTTATTTAGTGGTGTTTTTCCTGATAAAGCTATCTAGCTTGTAGTATGTAGCATGTAGCATGTAGCTTCGCCGTATCAATGTCGCCTCAAACCCAAATAGTACGGTTAGGTGTTTATATGTTTTGGTAACATTTTATTTGGTACGCTCCGCAGTCTTTGCTTTGTCTTTTATTTTAATTATGAGGCATTTGCTAACATGTTCAGACATACTGCCATAATGGCGATCTGTGTGAAGGCTGTAAAGCCACGCCCTAGCCGATAACACAAGTATTATTCTCCTATTTATTAGTATTTTGTATCCTCTAAAATCATATTGAGTAAGTTATAATAACAAACGTAATCTTCTGTAGGTAAGTGCCGTTTTTTGCAGCGTTATATGTAAAAGATGTTGTGATTGTAGTCTGTAAGAACGATCAGATATCATCGATCTGAAAGCTACGCTACGCTAATGAGACATGCCGTTTTTTGCAGCGTTATATGTAAAAGCTTTTGTGTGTTTACTTGTTTGCGCACATGAATATAAATGGTGGTGTGTGAGGATACAACACTGTATGTATGCGAGGGGGGACACACACCACGAGTAAAACGGAGCTAAAGCCCCGTTGGTCTGTTGTTGTTGACGAGGCCTTACCTCTAGCAACATGCTAATTAGTGGCTAGCACTCATTACAGTCAGTCTACTGAGCTCAGCCCCTCTCCAACATATCATCTGTATTGAGTCAGAAACACAGCATGCACGTTACGGTTCAAAACTAACTCAGATTGGAAAAGGCTAAGCAAA